GATCCAAAGCAAACAAAGTCAATACATAGGAACATAAACTCCAATACCATGAACTGAAAAAGTAGTTAGTAACATGTCTTTAATTAGTCTTGAAAAAGTCTCCTTTTTCTTCTTATGGTCGTCTCATTGGTGTGGAGTTACGAGCATTGTTTTGCATGTTTCGGATAGCTCTCCTGACCCTTGGATCAATGTCTTATTCGTCTTCCTCAATGCGTATTAAGTAGCCAAGGTGAGCGAGAGATCATCTATACTCTAGTTGTGTGATCTTCTCCACATCAAAATCCATAGCACTTCCTTGATTGTCATTTGCTTGTTCTTCTGGTTGTTGTGGTTGTTTTGCTTGTAGTGGCTGTTGTGGTTGTTGTCGGAGTGGTGGGTTCAATTACAGTACATGAATATAAATGATGAAAGACTAATCTAGCAATAGAAAACTCGAAAACAAGTCAAAGATAAACAATTAAACATGTTTTACCAGTTATAAATGAGAAAGAAGGGACATCAAAATAATCCTAAAACTCATCTACTTCGAAATTCACCTGCAAGTTCATAAAGAAAAATGTATTTAGCTTAGAATCCAGACACACAAAGTAGTCATATAAAGGTAAAACATAAAGAAATGAGAAGGCTTACCATTTTGACTAACTTTTGACCGTCACCTACAGAATCTCTCTCTGTAATCACAGAAACAAGATTATGCTTATGCTTACAACAAAATCAAGCAAAATAAACACAAATCAATGTCAAAACCAAACGTATTCCTCATCTAAACCTATGCAAAATGAATACATGAACACATCAATAATCAGACACAAAATCATCGTACATCGAAGAGAAAGATAGAGGCTAACCTTAGAGAACGTGAAAGGACAAGACAAAACAAAAGAGATGCTCCCTTCTTTCGCCCATTTCCAGCACTGACCACTGACTGTGCATTTACCGGTGATTCCTTCGCCGATGGTCTGTTATGTGAAGTCTCCACTCCGCCTTGTCTCCCTCTCGACCGCGAAACCGGAGCTACTTTCTCAATTGCCAAATCAAAGCTTTCTCCGATTCTGACTCATCAATTTCAATGGCGTAAGCTTGGGCTCGACGCTCCTGAATCTCCAGCAATCTCCGAAAAAAATCAAGTTTGGGAGGTGACGCCGGAACCAACCGTGGAACTAGCAGACCCGGCGCTTTCGATTTCATCGGCGAGAGAATCTATGATGGAAACCTTTGTCTGGAAGAACGAAAATTAGGAATTTTGATTCACGTGAGGATTAGGGTTCTAGGAGTGAAGATGAAGAAGGACATAAGCGAATCGCTTGGAGATTTGGGTGAGAAAGATGAAGAAATTAGGGTAAATTAGGGTCAGAGAAGACGAGGAAGAGAGAAAGACTTTTTTGAGGAGACAAGATCTCAAAAGGACACTCTCATCAAAACAAAAGCTGTTATATCCGTCTTTAATCTTCATACCCACTTTTAATGATAAGTATGCGAAGTGACGAAAATAGCCTTGGTTCAATTTCGGTCTGATTTAATAAAAACTGAAACCATCGAGCAAAACCATCAAACCATTCTACCTCAAACCCTCTTCTCAAAAGAGAAGGTCTCGATTTATTGATCTGATTTAATAAAAACTGAAAAAAAAAAATTTAGTTTCTTCTTCCTTCTTTATCGGGGACGAGACGAGCTGAGAATTCTCGTCGCCGTCGAGTTGTCGCCGGAAAAATGCGGTTTCCATCGCCGTCGAGGTCTGTCGCCGCGTTTTGTTTGCCTCTACGGATCTGCATTGAGCTCTCCTTGAAGATCCAGGTCCGTCGAGCTCTCTCAACTCAACTGCAGCTTTTCGTCTCGCCAGAAAATAGGTTTTCCGGCGCCGTCGAGGTCTCTCAACTCAACAGCCGCCGTTCTTTGCCTCCGTGGATCTGGTAGGTCCGTTCTTCAATTGATTTAGTTTTAGAATTGCAAATCTCTTGCAAATTGAGGAATTGAATTGGATATGATTATCCA